TGAAAATTTTTCCAAAATGTCTTAAATTTTACATCATTTTCAGCTCACGGACGCGACGATTGCATCGAACTCATTGAAAATTATGCTAGAAGTTTCAGATCGGAAATAACAGACATTTTCGGCAAATTTTAAGCGTTTTTTAACCGTTCACGATCTTTAACCGACGATTTCTTCCTTATTATTGACCCAAACGCATTATAAATGCTTGTGTCCTTCTTACGTCGAAAGGAATCGATTGAGCTCAAAAAACCCGCATGTGAAATTTTGATTTTTGGTCAAAATTTTTCCCAGGGTGGAAGTCGATTTTTTGAAAAAATGAAAATTTTTCCAAAATGTCTTAAATTTTACATCATTTTCAGCTCACACAGTATTACCCAGGCCTAGTTTACTAGTGCCAGTCACATGATTTAATGACAATTCAAGTTGAATAATAAATTAAGGATCAACAGGAGAAATTTCTCGTTCAATTAAATGCTTTAATCCGGATCAGAAATGATTGATGTGCAGATAACATTTTAAGCTGATGCGCATTCCATAAACAATATTCTTGATTCAGCTACATAATCACTCACCTTGCAGAAAATCACCTGCAGCTCATAGAGTTCTTGGACGGTAAGATTTTTCAGGACATTTAGGGCCTCTTTTTCGGTCGATATGGATGGATCGTGGAACTTGGCAATTTGGACAACGCTGTGGTCACATTCATCGGCCCAGCAGTTCAAAGCCGCCCCACTTTGCAAAATCGCCTTATGAAACAAATCCCTTAAAAAATTCAAGTTAGCTCTTGCAGCTTCAGTGAAAAGTAAAAATCACATACCGGGACATTGGCGATAGAACATGGAAATGGACGGAAGCTGATCCAGCGCTTTCTCCAAACAACGTGACATTTTCGGGATCTCCATTGAATTGCTGTATATTTGCCCGAACCCATCGTAACGCCTGCACTTGATCCTTGAATCCCATGTTTCCAGAAATATTAAACGCTGGATCCTTTAAGCGCAAAAAACCTAGAAAAATCGCCAGGTATAGTTGCCTCTTCTCTCATTCCTTCAGACATCCCGGTTGCAAAAAGATATCAAATGTTTTATGGAATATACATATCATATGGAAAAAAATCAACCAATTTCTCTCGGTACTTGAGATAAGGGGATTTGGGATTAGATTCAGGGAGCTTCCGTAATTTTTAAGCCCGATAAGATTAAACCCGCAATTTACTTGCCTAGAAGCCCGAACCGATAATTGATCGACACTAGAACCACGTCTTCCATTAAAAGAAAATCTGGGCCATAAACTTGGCTGGAGTTGGAGCCTCCAGTAAATCCACCGCCATGGATCCACACCATTACGGGCTTTAGATTATAGCTTCCATCCTGCGGCAGCTGCACGTGGCTGATTAGCTTGCACTTTAGCACTCAGCTGCGATCGACACTTACCTCTCTAGTGAAGACATTTAAATACAAACAGTCCTCTGAGCCTTCGTATTGCTGGATGAAGTCGTTCTTATGGAAGCAAGCGCTTCCGTCCTCCACAGCCTCACGCACTCCGACCCAAGAGTCCGGCTGTTGAGGCTCCTAAAAGCCCCCTTTTTCCATTACTCGGTTCAATACTCAAAAAAGCACTTACTCGAAACCTCAGCTCGCCAACTGGGGGCTTTGCATAGGGGATCCCAAGGAACTTGTAGACGTCATTGCCATCATAATCCTTCCCCTGGGTTCCCTCCAAGGCTCCTTGGAGGACTTTGACTATGGCAACCATTTTGACTGGAAACTGGCTCTTATCGGACTGAGCCTGGCAGGTTGAAGTCGCGACGTGGACTCACCTAAATCGGAGCTCGTCATCAATTATAACAAAATGATTCTAATTGAAGATAAATTGCTCTTAATCTTATCTAGCGCTGGGTTAATTCAATTTTTCGGTTCACCTGCGATCTGATTCATTTTTATAAACTGCTTTTGCCTAGATAAATTGGAGTTTTTCAGCAAATGCTTCAAGCAATAAAGTTGGCATTTAAGTGAACTCGTTGCAGCTGCAACTTAATGAACTTTAGAAGCTTGAGTCAATGGTTCCAAGACTAGTTCTAGCTGCACAGCTACGTAGCTGCGTGTATAACTATTAATTATTAGCTTTCCTTTGTGACTGATGTGAGCAGAACAAGAACTGAAGCTACTTTAGAAACACGCAAAGTAAAAACCCTTTTAAACAGCTGCTAATCGCACACAGTCGACGACTCCCAGAAGCAACTCTTTGTTCAAGAAAAGCGCTAAACTTTTCATATTAGAGCAATACTAATCAGGGGCGGATCCAGCTTTAAAGTCAGGGGGGAGTTATGAAGAAAAAATACAGTCTTCTGTTGTTTATAAAATTAGAAAAAATATCGTCGTTTTGTGCAAGGGTAGCGCAAGATTATTGCAAAATTTCATGTTTTCCGTCCCGTTTTGCATGTTTCTCGGAAGCAAAATGAGCACGACCGTAGACGACCTCCATAGAGAATTGAAAATTCGATTCAGTCACAACATGAGTGAGGAAATTTGAGTAGTTTTGACCCAGAAAGCGAATTGTGAATATTAGACACTTAGGTGCAAGATTATTGCAAAATTTCATGTTTTTCGTCCCGTTTTAGCTCGTTTCTCGGAAGCAAATTGAGTAAAAGCGCTCATTCTTACAGCATTCCAGAGAGAACTAAATGGCCTTTTTAGAAAGTAAACCATCGATAAGGAAACGTTGGCAGTTTTCTCAAAAAGTCTTGATTTCAAGAAGTTTTAGAATTGCGTCCTTGTTTTGAGTTGCAAAATCGACTCATTTGAGCCACAGAATTCGTTTTGGCATCGTTGGATAGAGAATTGAAAAGTCAATTCAGTCGTAACAACGTGAGTGAGGAAATTCGAATAGTTTTGGCCCAGAAAGCG